GACAATTAAAAACTGCCGATTGAATTACCAAAATTGACACTTTAATTACGGATACTAATTACACCTTAAAACACAATAATAATAAAACAATAATTCTACTGATCACTTAAGTTCGCAGTTGTTTCGCTTCGAAGTATTCTCTTGTATCACCAATTCAATACTGCCTTGGTCGTGGTCTATACCGGCTTTATATAGGTCCTCTGATAGTTTCCAGAAACTTCTACTGTAGCGACATCTAGAATGTTCGAGTACATATCGGTCCCGAAATTTCTGGAAGGATCTTGACTCTCCTAGTTCTGCTACCCGACACTAGAGAGCGCTAGTGTAACTAGTGTTGCCATGTACAAGACATTAATAGTGGCGCAACAATATTATACCTATACAACTTACTGTCTTTTGGTAATAATATCGTGGCATTCAATTTGACGTTTATATAAAAGTAATTTGTAACTAATTGCGAGACGTCCTGTCGATTTATTAAGCGTGTTAACTGTTTTACAACAAAAACTGAGAACGTATAGGAGCGAGCAAACAACGTAGTTTTAAATCAGCACTCAAGTGTTTAAATACTAAATATTTACCAATTCCACAAACTACGGAAAAACCAATGCAATATCAATTAACCGTACAAAGTTTGTTACATAGTAATGAAATGTCACTTATTTTTATTTATTTCGGAATTTAATTAAAAGTATTATCTATAAGATATGTACTAATATCAAAGTATTAACTTTACGTGATAGAGCCGCGCTGTAGCTATATTATTATGGTTGTAGCACGAATGGGTCGGCTCTACTGGGGAAGGACCATGCTCTCACGGAATACCAGCGTAAAATGACAACTTAATGCTGCTATGTTTCTTATGGTCAGAGTAGAGAACCGGAGACCCATTTTATTGGAAACAAGGCATTCCATGTTAGTACTCAGGGATGACAAAGCATCTGCATTTTAATTCTTAATCAAGGACAGATGTAAATGTTTAAGGGCCATAGCATTCAATTACCATCAGCTGGACTGCGTGTTCGTTTATCATCCTTATTTTATTGAAAAACCTAACATAAGTAATCTAACCCCGAGGAATTAGAATAATATGATTACTAGTCTAGTAATATTGTCATATACATATGACGACTGATATAATAGAATAATATTATACGTAGTAAACCGTTGCAAGTAAGTCTAAATTGAGTCTGAAAGCTGAAATTACGAGAATACCATTTTAGAAAATATTCTAAGATAAAAGATATTGAAATATCATTGATTTAGTTCAAATTAGTATTGCCACTCTTTTAAATCTTATTATTCCTTTAACATAAGCCCGGACGAAGAATAGTCGTAATTGTTGTGCTTGTGCATTTGTTCTGAATGATTTATTAATTAACATTACTATATTTAGCATTTATTAACTTTACAAAAAATATATATTTCTAAATTTAATCCTTTCTTAAATCGTCGATAGCGAATGAACTACCAAGAGTTGCATTTCAAGTTAATATTCGTAGTGGTTAAATAATTTGTCAAATCTATTAAAGAGAAACTCGTAGATTGCTTAGCGTACATCGTATGCAACTAGGGCAGGTACCTTTCATAAACCTTTTTTAAATATTAAAAAGATATATAAATATTCTTTCAAATAAGTATATATAGTTAGAAAAACTTATACAACACGTGTTGTGATCGGTTCTTAATACAAATTATTTAGACGTCCGGAAAAGGGTTAGTTTGTTAGATAGATTTGATAAATAACGGCCCTATTGAAGCTTTGTGTCAACTGTAATTCCGAGGAAAACAGTGAATTCAACCAGACTCAGCTCTTCCCCATTTAAAAGCACACTGATATTTACCTGTTCCTGGCACCTGTTTAACATTTGGTGTTGTAAATTTAATACATTTCGTTTCAGTACCGTTTAAAAGCAAATTGTTGACGTTAAAACGGTGTGCTTACTACTTTTGATATAGCGTTATTCATTTCGTCATATTTTAATAATTGCCTTTTAAGTCTTTTCTACTAAAAAGTATCATCAGCAGATAAACCTATATCATGGTCATTCCCTACCAAGCAAGTTAAGTCATTAATATAAACTAAGAACAAGAAGGGGTCAAGCATTGAGACCTAATGAACACCCATAGATACTCCTGATCTTGAAGAGCTACACTTCCATTAATCACAACTGTTAGTGTTCTTTTATTTAAGTATGATGTAATAAGTTTAAGCGCAATGTTTTTACATCATAATGAGAAATTTCTCATAGTGAACACAGTCGAAAACCTTGGAAAGATCACAAAATATATTGAAAACATCCTGTGAATTCTCCCATGCACAGAAAATATGTTTCATCAGCTCAACACCAGCCTCAGTTGTCGAGGGTTCGCACCCTTGTAAAACCAAACTGATTTTTATGGAGCAATTTATTTACATTAAAAAAAAAACGTAGTAATGATGATGACCTAGAATAATATTTTCAAAACTTTTATTGAGCGTTGGTAGAAAAAAATTGTGGGGTCCAAATGTACTACCAGATTTAAATAAAGGTACAACTTTACATGTTTCTTTAACGCGCCACTAGTACACGGACTGTCTTTAATTTGAAACTTATATGGTAAGAAAGAAGCGCTCTTCCCTTATTGATATAATGCGTGTAAATACGAAGATCATCATCATCATCATTACAACTTTTCACATGTCCACTGCTGAACATCGAACTCCCCCAAGGAATGCCACAAAGCACGGTCCCGAGCCACCTGCATAATTATCTTCTTAACATTTTCATACTTTGCAAAACCTATTAAACATTTATTTTATTATTATATTTATTAAACTTAATGGCATTGAGGCAGTTAGGCTAAATTAAAGTTCTTTAAACGACAAACGTTACGAAATCTTTTTATAGACAAGGCGAGACTATAGGCGTCGATGTTATTTTTTCCATTTATAACGTGCCTTCCAAACAAACAACTAACTGCCATCAAAGACTGCGTTCCTCACGCTGATTACATAACTTATTAGCGAATTTCAAAAAGATAAAGTCTACTGACAAAGTTTGGCCGCAAAATTTTCCTTCACTTAAAGTAATAAAAATACAAAACCTCAACTTATTAGCGTATAGTGTAGTATAGCTACCACAACTATATTAGAGTTAAGTTAAGAAGAAAAAGTAGTCTGATTAAAGTCCTAGAAGAAGGAACATGTCTGTCTCTCAATCTCTGTCTTCCAATATTACATGGCGACTCTGCCAGGATTACAAGCAAGTTATTTCAAAAAGACTGGACGGCAAACTATTTTCCCTCTTATGCAAGCAGCTATAGTTCACTGCTAAGCCCTATATCTTTAACGAATTAAAGGAGTTGCTTGGTTGTGCAATTCCACTTCTTCTGAGCTAAGTACGTAGTTTCCCAGATAATAATCAGCAGTTGACTTGATATGGACTCTTATAACGATGTTGACTATATGCGTGTGTGTACAATACATGTTTATTATGAAAGTGAATTTGTCCGTTCTTTAGCGAGTTTATATGCTCATAATATATAATATGCCAAAACAGCTCGACGGATTTTTAAGTGCGAAGTGATCGTAAGATTCGTCTTTATCTTAGCGGTGTCACTAATCAATCAATCGAAATATATTAATTTAGCGCTTGCTTGAAGTGCATTCTGCTGAACATTTCAATAACTTCAGTCGGGTTCGTTTGTTTTTAAATAATTTGCTGTAGCGTGCTAGTAGTGCGTGTAGTATGCTACTGTGCAACAAAACAAATATAATGGCTCAGTTCTTGGTCCCTTTCTGTTCTTAATATATTAATGACTTACCTTACTTGATAGGGAATAACCATGATATAGTATTTTATGCTGATGATATTTCGTTGATTTTCCGACTAAAAAGGCAATTATTGTAGTATGACGAAGTTAATAGTGCAATATCAAAAGTAGTAGCTACACTGGTTTAACGTCAATAATTGGCTTTTGAACGGTAATAAAACGAAATGTATTAAATTCACTACACCTAATGTTAAAAAGGTGAATATCACTGTGCTTTTAAATGGGGAGGAGTTGGGCCTTGTTGAATCCACTGTTTTACTCGGAATTACAGTTGACGCGAAGCTTCAATGGGGCCCTCATATTATATCTAAACTAGCTAGCAAATTTAGTTCTGCAGCATATGCTGAAAAAAAGATTAGCCTTACATGTGTTGTAACAGCTAGCTTAGTTTATTTTAGTTATTTACATAGCATAATGCCATATATGTAATCTTGCTATGGGGTAATGCGACTGCCATTGTAACTATCTTTGTTTTGCAAAAGAGAACTATAAGAGCAATTTATAACCTAGGTCCAAGAGAAAAATTTAAAGAAATAAACATATTAACTTTGGCCTCTCAATATATTTACGAGAATTTCATGTATGTACACAAAAACAAAAAAAGTCTTATTAAAAATAGTGATTTACATTCTGTAAATACTAGGAATAAGCACAAGTTAGTTATAACAGTTACTCGACTCCAAAGACTCAGTAATTCCTTCATGGGGCAATGTATACGCTTTTAGAACAAAGTCGCAGAAAATATTCAGACCTTTTCTATCAAAAGGTTTAAATTATTTTTTTAAGCAAAAATTGTCTAGTAAGGGTTATTATACAACTAAAGGATACATGACTGATAATAACCCCTGGGAATGAGGTGATCGCTACCATGCTGTTTCTAAATGTTTTCATAACAATTGTATAAAATACTATATTGTAAATTGTGTTTTTTTTTTTAAAAAAAGTCCCGCTGGGCTTCTTGCTGGTTCTTCCCAGGACAGAGGTTTTTTGCGAACCAGTGGTAAAAGTAAAAAATGACTTTCAATAAGTATTATGTACTGTAATCCATATTGAATAAAAAGATATTCTATTCTGTTCGTTGAGTGCGAAAATTTTGATTTCAGACCTTTAAATATAGTAATGTTAACCTTTTCCTTTATAATAATCAGTACAATCTTAATTCAAAAACCATTACTATCACTTACCCCGGTACTGACTAGAGATAACATGATCCTCTCGTTTAGCGCGAGCGTCTCGCCTTGCTTCATCTTGATGCGTTTTTTGTCGAGGCACTTCATCGCATACATCTTACCCGTGTCCGCTTTCCGGCAGCCGTAAACCTGTCAACAAAATACAGATTAATGCATCTTTGCTTAATAACCTGTGTTGCAGCATCTACATTTATGTAATTATATTTTTTATCACAAGATATCGGTTTGGTGCTAATTGATATTTTTAATTTTGTAAATTGATGATATTTTTGGTCAACTAAACATAATTGTCGATGTTTTTTTCTGAACTATAGTTTGGCTGATAAGTATGAGAAACAACAATTCAAAAAAATAAATAAATGGCACTTTAATGAGATTTTAATTGATGCCCTATTGTTGGATGTTATTCAAAAGCTCCATAGTCATCTTCGAAATTAGAACGTACTATGCCGAATTTCAATCTCACTTTTACTTTACTACCTATTAGGTTTAATACATTACCTATTATAAGAATATATATATATATATATATATATATATATATATATATATATATATATATATTCCTTCAACTACGAAAAAACTGGTGACTTGTGTGTGCCCTTTGGGGTCTGACAAAAAAATTAAAATTTGTTAATTTGTTACTTTTTTATAGAATAAGGGTGACAAGCGAGCTTTGAGATTGGTTGTTCGTTTCCTAAGCGTCGCTATACCATTCATCCGATTACGATGAAGCCTTGTGAGTTGTGGTATGCGCGCCTTCGAATGTTTCTGATAAAAAGGCAATTTAACGCATGATGGGTGCAGGTAGTATTATTTACATATTTAGAATTTATCACAACTCTCCAAAATGGCGGCACCGTAGCGCAGTGGATTAGCAATGAGTTGCAGCCTCAGGGCTAGCCTAAGGGCTAAGTGCCGCGGATTTGAATTCCGCACAGAACAAGTATTTGTACGTCCTACAAATAATTGTACCGGATCTGGATGTTTGTCCTTGAGAAATTTATATATTTGAACTGCGTCCACGATACAGGAGAAAATTCTAGTATGGAGGTAACGTCGTATAAATAAAATCACATAAAAGCTACCATTATTGTGATTTAAAAAAAAATTACAGACAAAATAAATTTGCTAAAATTTAGTACATGGATTTTCTCGTTTATTAAGTTTTTACTAACCTCACCAAAACCACCTCGACCGATGATTCGATGGACGCTGAAGTCGTTCATCGTTAGTTGTATGTTCAGTTCTAAATTCTTCCATTGACAAAACCTTGTGTATTTATCACTGTAAAGAAAACCTTTTTATAAAGTCATGTCTGCGAAGTAGATAATTTCCGAAATGCTTGGTAAGAAAATTACCTTTCTAAGAAATTTTTAAACGGTTCTCCTCTTAAATGTTGAAAAATTTCTTCGATATAAGGCTGAAAAAAAGGTAGCATTAGATTTTAATTTTTATAAGGTGCACTTCCATTTGATATTATATTATTATAAATAAATTTTTTGCTATTATAAAATTATCAACTAATTTTGTAATTGATTGAAATATTACAATAAGTTTAAATAGGTATAATTGTAGGCGAAGGATATCAAAACCTTAAAGCTTTAAGTTTCAAAACCAAAAAATTAAAAATATATTTATACAAACCTATATCTTTATTTTTATAATGATATATGATGTAGTATTGTATTTTTTTAAGTTTAGTCGATCGTCGACTATCAATTATAGACCGACTAATTCGCTTTGTTTTGCGCGGTTACAATTGCATATTAGTTAGGAACACAAGAGTCAGAAATATCCACTCGATTAAAGATTATTATACAAATTGTTATTGTACCAATAAAAAATACCTCAAACTTTCAAGATATTATAAAATTGATTATTACAGCGTAATTTCACATTTTAGTTTAGTTGTTGACGTTTGTTAGAATCGTAATATACAGGTGATGAGCTCAAATGCGAAGATTGAAAATTGAAAAGTAAAGAAAAATTTAACTTGATAACAAAATTTAACTCAATAAGATTAGATAACGTATCGAGATGAATGATCTTTAATATACATATAATATTACCTCGAATAAATTCGGTGGTACTTCGTGTTTCATTAAATATTTTTGTACGTGCGCTACACACTCTTTGGAATAATCCTGAAACAATTATAGAAAATTACTCACAGAAAATCAAAATAGTTAATGTTAGAGCCAATGGGAGGAAGATTCTTTCTGCGAATGAAAATTGCATATAAATATGATCCATTTACTTCTTCCTATATTATCGTTGCACTTTCCCATAAGCAACCACAATTGTCATGTGAGCGAGACACTATTACTTATTGTCTTTTATATCCTTCTATTCTGTCATGTCGTCGTGTAACCCTGGTGGAAATCGTTGCTGATGGGAATTATTCTGCAACTGCGTTATATTTCTTCATAATTACAACACTGTATAACCCAAAATAAGGTTTTAATAAAAAAGGTATCGGCTAATATTTGATTCAGATGCATTTATACATTGAAACAAAACGTCAAACGTCAAAACGAAGTCAATCTCGATTCCACCCAAAGTTCAACAATCGCATTGCTATCAGTTGACAACAGTAGTAAGTATAAAAGATAAATCTACTCTAAACAAACATTTGATACCTCTCATCTTCCCAAAACAGATTAAAACCTTTATGATAGAATCTGAAGAAAGATATATTATGTAGGCCAATCCATCTAAAACCTAAATATTGCTGACAATACTTTTTATGAAGGTAATAGAATCATGAAGACTTTGCCGCAATGATCATGTTCGAAATGGATATAATGTATCCGAAAAGAATTCTTTATCTCTCAGAAATGCAAGTTCTCCGTACTGTTTTACTTCTATACTCTCTCATTTAAATAAAAGCTGGATCAATTACGATTCGTCTTATCGATTACGTTCATCTCGGAAAAAACAACATATTAAGTCGCATCATACTGATATTAGGCATGTAGTAAACTAAATCGCCGTGTCAAATAAAAAGCCTGGTATACAATACCGGGCTTTTGTCTCTCAAATATTTTGTCACAAATAGCATTATAATAATTCAGAATTAAATAGCTCAGATATAGCGTAAAAGATGCGGGGCCAATAATAGTATTTCCAGTACCGTAAATAATATACAGCTATAAGTTGTGAGTTGTGTTTTGAACTAAATTTTTCACACAACATTATATCCCACAATTTGCTAGGTAAAGAAGACAATGTTTACATGGACACACAAAAAATAATCGGTTCAATTTAAAACAAAATACTTTCACATCCTCGTCAGTTGACAAAAAATCTACTTCTGGACTTCAACATCTCTCCATAGCTAGCATTTTTCATAATCGCTACGTTTGGCAGGCAATAGGCTATCGCCGTGCCAGGCTTCTTTCGGAGGCCATGAGTTCTAACATTCTTCATAACAAAGGGATATATTATAATAATGAATATGATGCAATAACATAATGAAATCAAGGCAAAAGTGATATAAACAGCGTAAACTTAATAGAATATTTTATACCGCAATTTGTAAGCAAGATGAATAAAATAATTTTTCAACATAACTTTAAAGTGTCGTTTGGGGTTTATCGTAAGGGGCACAAAATCTTAACGCCCCACCACACCTACGGAATAAGATAGAGAATAGGTTTATTTTATGCCGCCAACAGAATGCGGAAATAAATTACATTAAGTACATCAATAATTGAAAAAAAAAACGATCCTCACTCCTAATAAATGTCGCGGGCGTGTGGAAAACTAAATGTTTTGCCTTCGTGAAGACTGACAAAAAACCTGCCAAAGCCTCTAACAAAGAGATTTTCAACATTCGAAAAATTCGCCCGCAATCAGGTTACATCGATATAACATTTTTGTTCTTAATATAAATACTGAAGAAAAAAATATTTTCATTATATAAACAATTTCGACAGAACAAAATATAACGCTGTTTTGTTTATCAAATATAGCTCATGAATTGGAGCACAAAGAGAATGCATGTCAAAGGATTATTTATTAATATTCAAGAAAACGGTTCTTTGTGAAGGTGTTTTGACAAAAATTTCATATTTTATGGCTGGTGCGTAAGTTTTCAGACTTTGACGGCTCTTAAACCTTTTTTCAAAATGTAGTCTGATATTCTTCATCAACTCATTAAAGCCTCCTACTGGATATGGGTTTTTCCCATTATAACGGATTTTAACATAGGAAGGTTCAATTGTGATATTTTTTTATTATCTATATATATTAAAATCGAAATGAAATTCCAAATTTAATAAATATTTTGAGGCCCATTTTTAACATCACACGAATAATCGTAGTCAAAGAGTATATCATATAATCTCTGGTCGGAGTAGAGTATAGCTTATTATAATGCTTTCACATATGTTTTAAAATTTAAGGTATGATTTCTTCTTTTAAAGAAAACGTTAGCAAACGTAAGCAATTTCTCTCATATCTTTATAAATTGCACAAGGATAAACGTCCAGACTCTGAACAATTATTTGTAGGCCATACTAATTACTAGTTTTTTGTAGGAATTAAACGCCCGACCCGACCACGCCGCGCAAAATACTCCATATTTAAAAATAATAAGAAAACAATTTCTTTAATAAAGGTGAATATATTTAGTTGTGTAGTCGGCTATTATTATCAATGGAGTTTTTACCATCATAATGGTGGTTAATAGATATCTCTGATATGGAATTCCCGAGGACATGAATCATTGATTGCTTTAAAGATATTTTTTACCGATTCATTTTTCACTTGAAAAATTGAAAAGGAGGAACAAGATCTCTGGCATATACAGTGCCTGTCGGAGTTGACAGCCAAAGCTCCAATATTTTGAGACAATATGGAGGTAGTGTATGGGCGGGCGAAATTGTGGAGATGAAGTTAAAGAACAGTGTGTTCACAAATTACGGTTTACCAAAACGTTTGTCTTATACGGTTTCCAGTGGCGTATGCAAACATATGAAACTCTTCGTGTATTCTCAGCATACGGTCAAAAATTATGCGAAATTATGTTTTACTGTGGCTAAAATTCGACTCACGAAATGTATAAAAATATGAATGCTTTAGATTTTTTTTACATAGACGGCTAAACTGTACTAGAAAACCGAATCAAATAAATCATAATAGTGTGAACTCGCTGTAAAGAAATTAACACGCATCGGTTTTTTGATATCGAACTTATACATCATCGTTTGTACAGTATAGGACCTCTGCAGTAATTGTTGTTCCATATATAGATAATAAGAAAGTCTAATAAATAATGCCTTTACACATCCATCATACGGGTACACACAAACGGACATTAAAACTGTTCTTTTTATGCGAATTAAAAATAATTAAGACATAAACGTCAAGACTATTACGTCGAAACGATTCGGTAATGGGTAGTGAACGGCTGTGAGAAGACGGATTCATGTGCTATTAAGCGCCTTCGATTGTGACTGAAGTCCGATCGCCGCCAGTCGGCGGGCATCGCGCCAACAGTCTTAATAAGGGGCATTATACAAACAGATTTCAAAAGAATTACTCGGAAGATTGATTCCTAGCTGTCTGGTTGTTCATTTCAATTACGTTTTCAAACGAAACTACACTTATTATAGATGAAAAACAATTCGAATGGTTAAACATTGGCCGCGTGCATATAAAAAAGCTATATATTGCAATGCTAATATTTCATTCATACCCACTGAACAATACACAGCAAGATTTAAGAAGTCGGTCTATTGAATATACGCTATTTTGCTCAATTGTCATCATTAAAAGTAAAGAATAGCCGTAGTCAAAACAAGGTATAATACATAAAATATTGGTTTTCTTCTACGGAAATGGCCCACTTATCTTCACTGGTATGTGACAGTTAATTTAATCACATTACCATTGAATAACTAATGTTAAAGTTGCACACAGGTAGTTAAAGTTGACCACAGACCTCTCATTTCTGAGAGGGTTTTAGGGTAAGGAAATGTCCGCCGCGCTGCCCCATTGCGTGTTGGCGAACTTCACATTTCTTCGAAATATTTTTTTGTTCTTATTTCTCAGACATGCAGGTTTCCTCGCGATGTTTTTCTTCACCGCTGAGCACAAATAAAAATCAATTAACAATTTCATTGGTGCTGGCGGGGATCGAACCCGGGTTGCTGGCGTACTGTGAAATTTACAGCGAGCGCTTAGCCCCTGGGCTACCACAACTCTAATGTGTTGTATGACTAAGACAAAAGTAAAGACGAGTGTTTCATTGGTAGAAGCCACCGTTCCGTTGGCTAAAACAATCGCTAATTCTCGTAATTTCAAAAACTATTTTAAACAATTAATTGTGTATCAAATTGTGTCAAAGAAGATTATTCTTATCAAAGAAGTTATGAAACAAAAGTGAAGTAATCTAAAAATTATGATCCAGGTTTAGGGGCGTAAGGAAACACAGTTTTTACGCTAAAACCATTCATTCGTTAAAGTTATTTAAGCGACATTTATTATTATTACTCACATGAGAATGCGCCAATAGTTCTTTCATAATAAAATTGTCGTAAATATCCCTCGCGATCCGCCGCCTTTCTTCAACACATTCTTGTTTCTCATATAATTTTATCTGTTGATAAAAAGCAATTACTGTATGAAATGCGTCCTAAAATATATTCATATTTGTACCAAGCAAATAAGGAGTAAATTTGTTAGATATTTAAATACCTCTTCATAAAATTTTAACTGTGGCACTGGTTCTTCTGACGTTTGTTCGCAGAATTCCTTAAATAATAAATAACCTGAAACAATAAATTATATTATCAATAGACGTAATCAAATACAATAAAGATGTATCTTACATATTATGATCTTTCAGGGCGAACGTATCAAAGAACACTATTACTTTCGACCGCGACATTATCATCAACGAAAGCTATACAGTTCCACATTATATTTTTAAATATATTGTTATTCTATAAATAAAACCGTTTCTTTATATGGCAATATTGAAAGAAATAGATTTATATGAATATTTAAATTGTTCTTTGAACAAATGCGTGGTTTTAGAATACATACAATACAACCGTTATTAAGGCTCGTAAAATATTAGGTAAACATGAGTATATTTAGCGTGTGGGCGGAGAATAAGTAAATCCATCGTCTCATCTTATTCCCTTGAGCCGTAAAAGCAATAAGGGCAAAGTTATCAGTAAAAACATGTGTTCTCCGACAAATTGCAAACTGCTTATGACAGGAAAGAGCGAAAGCAACAGGCGACAGGTCTGTTATTGAGATCGCTATCAAGCAACCACCAACCAGTGAGTGCTTGCGCGCAAGCATGCGTGTTTTTCATTTCGCATATTCCGCGACCAAATAATGATATTGACTCTAAACCAATTTGGTAGTTGGTAGTTGAAATATAATTTACTCTATACATACTTATTCCATAAATATATATTTTTCATGTGTTTCTTCAATTAAATTTAAAGAAAAAGACCTGGTGAATTGAAAATATCTCCTCAAGCTAGGACTATATTTAAAATGAAAAAAAAAAAATACAATGTCTATAACAACCGAGCATTTTAAAAAAAAAATTAGGTTTAATTATTTTACAAATATTCGCTTCTTACTTCTTAGTAAAATCACAACCTGTTACGAATAGCATATATATTGCGATAAAACATATTTATCAAGATATAATGATCAAATTGTAATGAAAATGTTAAGAACTAAAACATAATCAGTCTTATCACAAAAAAATAATTATTAGTTTTAAGCTTACACCAGTATGGATTTTGACGGCGATTGTCAAATTTCGCGAAGAATGTGGCGCCGCGGATAAAGGACTTCTTTCATGAAAATAATCTTTTATTAACTATAGTTTAAACCAGAGACTATCAAAAAACTACCTTTTGTACTAAGACGGAATACGTTCATGTTATAAAAAGTATATTTTTGTACGTGGTAGAGCCATGCTGCAGCTATATTAATAGTATAGTTGTAGCACGAATGGGTTGGCTCGACCGGGGAAGGACCACACTCTCACAGAATACCAGCGTGAAATAGCAGCATAACACTGCTGTGTTTCGTATGGTGAGTTTAGAGAACCAGAGATCCTTTTTACTGGAAAAGAGGCATTCTATCTTAGTCCTTACGGGTGACAACGCATCTGCATTTTGATTCTTTATTGAGGACAGATGTGGATGTCTATGGGTCACAGCAACCACTTTCCATCAGGTGGACTGTGTGCTCGTTTGTCACCCTATCCTATAAAAAAAGTAGTTTATATATTTCGTCTCAAGCTCGGTAAATATTATGCAAAATAAAATAGTGTTGAATTTCACAGCAAATGTCAAATTTCACAAAGCAACGCCGCGGTAAAGAGCGCTATCTATTTTAAAAAGACTCTTCTTAAACCATAGTTTAAGCTCGAGTCTATCATATACATATATCATATATATTAATACCTAAGCCACGATTAGTAATAAAAGAGATTTAATTATTTGCCGATAAAATCCTCCCATCGCGGGAGTATATCAAAGCGGCGGCATCAGAGGCGGCTGAATTGAGCGAGAGTAAATGGCGCAAATATGTGTCTCTGAGTGATGTGACTGTACAGTATTTGTCATTTGTTGTAGAGATATCGATAATATCAGTGCGTTGGGTCCACGCGTAGTGAGCTTTCTAAAGGAACTGTATCCCTGACTGGTCGTCGCCACTGCAAGCAAGGGGGCTGGTTCTTTTTCTACAGATTTCAAAAAGGATGAGATACTCAATTCGACTGTATGTTTTTTTTTATGTGTGTTACCTCATAACTTTTATTCTGGGTTATCCGATTTCGATGACTCTTTTTTAATTTGAAAGTTGATGCTTCTCATGTGGTACCATATAAATTTGATCAAGGTCAGACCAATAGTTTTTTAGTTATTCTTAATAATTTATATTGAAGTCGGTTGTACAACATTTTTAATTTTTAATTATTCGTGTAGTTTAGAGTCTGAGATCATAAATCATTATTTTAGTTTTTGATTTTTTATTGTAATCAATGACAGAAAGACAAAGACAAATATTATATATGTTTAAAGTGCACAAGTATGCCAAAACTAAAAATTAAAATTTTAAAAACCCCTGAACTAAAATAAGCTGATGATCTTTAAACAGCTGAAAGGATTTTCTTGAATCATAGCTAAGAACATTTTCGATCAAGTCACCTTCCAAACAAAAAACGAAACTAAATCTAAATCGATCCATCCATTTGGGAGCTACGATGCACAGACCGACACACAGATACACACGTTAAACATATAACACCCCTATGTTTGCTTCGAGGGTTAATAAAACCATGCTTATCGCTCTTCAGTTTGCGTCGCAATGCCAAATGAGGTACAGCAAGCATGGATGGAAAAACAAAATTATGTTATCTTGCGAGGTAAAACAGTAAAAATAATGCCACATCATTTTAAAACTATGATACAATAACAAGATACGTTACGTTTGTAAAATATCACATGCGTTGTCACCACCGGAGACTAAGATGGAATGTCTCGTTTCCAGTAAAAAAGGTCTCCGGTTCTTTACACTCACCATACGAAACACAGCAGCATTAAGTTGCTATTTTTAAACGACTTCAAAAAAAAAAGAAGGGGTACTCAATTCGACTGTATTTTTTACTGCAGCGTGCCTCTGCCACATATGAAATGACATGTCTGATGTATTGGTAATTTCAGTTACAGACGTCTTACGTTGAAGTTACTTGCATCGCCGGTCAAGATATTTTACTTTTGGTATGGTTACTGGTACAAAAGGGATATTAACGTCATCATCATCATTATTATTACAATGCGTCACAAGTCTACTGGTGAAAAAGGTATCCAATAGATTTGCACAGAAGCCACAAAGCATTGGTCAGAGCTACTTGCATTCATAGACTCCCTGCATTCATCGTCTGCCTGCGTGAGCAGATCGTCATTTAATCTAATGGGAGGGCCGGTACTCTCACTCGAGAACCTTTCTTCACCATCTGTTGTCGGTTTGTTGTGCTACATGGTCAGCCACTTTAGCTTGTCTGAGTTTGAGTTCTGTTTCATTGCGATACGTCAATTACTCTGAATACTATGCATGTCTAAATGCCACCTATTAAACTTTGAACTTAATAGAGAGGCGTTCTAAGAAGCGTATGGTGATTTCAATCTGGTTGAAGACAGTCTCGCGCACATGCGCAAAATATCAAGCCTCTCAATATTGTACAGGATACGTTTCGAAACATGTGCATAGAATTGGCATGATTTATTCTTTATTCTCTCCACCCTTTGACATCACATCTCACTCACCATCGAACAACCAGACGCTCAGCTAGTCTCCACCCCATTGTTATATCGCATTTGAACCATACGGTTTCGTCGTTAATAATGCGTACAGCAACGGAGTGGAATAATTTGCCCGCATCTATGTTGCCACACTATTACAATGTAGGCGTGTCTTCATTGTATGAGTGAATCGGCTTTTGTTAAGTGCGCATCATTATCGGCTATATCACCAATAATTATGAGGATAATATTCAAGCACTAACTTATAATATTAAAAATACATTGTACATTTGCGGAGCCCATCAATCCGCTGTCGGGGAAATACCTTTGTAATATTTTCTTGGACGCGGTTCAGATTACCAAGTAAAATATTGAAGTATAGTAAAACGTTGCTTTTATAGAATTTGAAGCGGACTTTGGAATTTACTGAACGATATTTCCGTCCGAAAAAGATCTGAACTACTCTCAAGACTCATCTAAAAAAGTTTAAAAAAATAAGAAGTTTTTATCATCTAAAAAATAAAATTACTGTTCTTCGTGATCATCAGACCGTAAAAGTCCATGCACAGTGTTAGGTCATAGGTCTAGGAGGATTTACTTAAATCGTTAAACTTGGCAAGCGAATTCACAATTGCAGTTCCAGATGTGTCACACGCTGCTGTTCATCTTCGACCTGGGTATTTTACGTCCGACGAAAAAGAGATTGGTTTTACCACTTTCTATTTGAAGCCATAAGATTTTCTGACATTTTTCACACCCGTCTCTAACGATAACGACACCAACGGAACAAAATGGAATGATGGATTCAATTACGCCACAACAACACTTTCAAAATCTTAATATTAAATATTATTCATACTGTAGGTTTCAATATTTGTATTTTTAGATGTTTATCGCTCAATTAAGATAAAAAGGATTGCAAAGGATTCAAGACAAAGGGGTATATTGTGTTATCGCATAGACATAAGATAGCTTTTTGTCCCACAATGCTGAGTACAGCTTATCCGTTTATAACACCTTTATTACGTGGGCGAATTTCGCGGAAGCAGAACCGCGGTGAAAACAAGAAGATAAAGTATAATTCAAAAAGTAAACTCATTTTGAAGGGAAATTAACTTATATTCATTAATATCAACGTTTTAATTTATCATAATCTTTTTTTTTATTTCTATTTTGCTAAATAAATAAATTAGAAAAAACAAACCGTAAATATTTAGAATATTCTGAACCCGCGTCGTTTGCTAGCAGAATTTACAATTTAATTAAGGCTTTTACTAGCCTGAATGACCTTGACGAGACGGCGATCGCAGAGATTTTAGCCGACGTCAACACCGTCTAGCAACTACGTTTTGTATTACTTATAAAAGTGCAAAGATTAATAGATTGCAGAGATGACAATTATATAAGTGACATACTGCCTATTCTATTATGCTTGCGCATCACTGAGAATTATGTCCCGGTTACGCTTCTTCAATTACATTGTGATGTAGCTT